GCCCCCGTTCTCTCTCTCTCTCCGTGCATCATGGCGGAGCGAAGCGTCCCGGAGGGCTGTATGGACAACACTTACCCCGCGTCGACTGGGGGGGAAGGGAAGATGAAGGAGAAGTTCGAGAAGGTGACAGAGAAGGTGGTCATGGATGAGAAACCGGTGATAGCTGGAATCGAGGTGGCCAATCCGAACCCTCTGGGCCTGACAGCCTTCGCCCTGACGGCTTTCACCATGTCCATGTTCACTGCGGGTTTGCTGCCGGAGTCTGTCAGCAACGTGGGCTTGTCGATGGGCTACTTCTTCGGCGGGGCGGGCATGCTTCTTGCGGGGTTGTGGGCGTTCTTTGCACGCAGCACCTTCGGCGCCACGGCCTACTGCTCCTACGGCTTCTACTTCCTGTCGTACACCTACTACATGGTGGAGATGGAGAAAGACGCGGCCAACCCCGACAAGACCCACGTGGCGCTGGGCGTGTTCCTGCTGGGGTGGACCATCTTCACGATCTGCATGACCATCATCTCCTACAGGACGTTCCGCGCTCTGTTCATCATGTTCGTCTTCCTGACGCTCGATTACTTCTTCAACATGCTGGGCGCATGGGCGGACTCGAAGCGCACCACCAGGGCGGGAGGCTGGTTCGGCCTGCTGGCTGCCGCGTCGGGGCTGTACTGCGCCATGGGATTGGTAATCATCGACACGTGGAAGGAGGAGGTCTTGCCACTTGGATACTACAAGCCTTAGACTTACTAGACTCTCATTTATTCTCTAGAAAGACCGGATTAGTTCCCTGTGAACTTCTGCGAAACTGCCGAGAAACTTCCGCGAAACGACTGAGAAACTTCTGAGTAAGTTTCGGGTAACTTCCATGTACATTCCGGGTAAGTGGTAATTTTATTTTATTTATTTATTTTTATTTTTTTTATTTTTTTTTAGGACAGAATAGAAGTCACGTAGGAACACACAGAATTTTACTTATCGGGTGAGACAAATAGGGTGCATAAGAATAAGATGCGATAGTAGGCCAGGTTTGCGCCATAATTTATTGAGTACCTCTGTACCGGGACATGATACTAAAAATAGATCGCTGGCAGCCATCGCTGCTAATTTGCTGCTGGGGCTGCTGCTGGAGCTGCTGCTGTAGATAATTTGCTATCCACGATGTGGCCACGTGGCTCAGTTGAGTGCGTTGGACACTGACTGGGTAACCGGGTTTTGACACGTGGATGGTGGTTCAACGTGGTTCTGCTTGGACACGTTGGACTCGGGTTAACCCAACATCATTGCTGTGCCTAGATGTGTCATCCTTCTTCCCTCGCATTCGTTTCTCTCTGTCATCCTACAGTTTCCGATTTCTTTCCCAAATTCCCATAGCTTTCAATAATTCAATTAGAACTCCTCCGCGTCCTGTAGCCCGTTGAGAGGGGGAGGGGGGGGGGGGGGCACTTCCTGTCCTCTGTACCTGGTCCCATGTTCCCAACAGTAGCTTTCCGATCACTAGCTCCTCCCTTTCGACTCCCTTAATGTTTTTCCTCTTGGGTCCTTGTGTTCTTTGCTAAGATCACTCGACTCGAGTAACAGTTACTGTAGCCGTTCGATAGCCTCTAGTTGGTGTTTCTTCAGGTACTGAATCGATGGTGGTTCGTGTCTTTTTCTTTGCATTTGGCTGCTCCTGGTTCTGTTCTTACTTTAAGTTAATTCCACTGTAGGATACGAACACCGATCCTGTTAGAATGCTTTACTCGCTAATTGTCTTTCAATTTGCTCGAGAGAATGTCCTTGCTCAGGCTTGCTGGTGTCGCGCTACTGCAAGGCAAGTGCTGTCATTGCTGATTCATATGTCAATTAATGGTTAACATTAACTGATTATTCTTTGAAACTCTCATTTCAATCTCTCTCTCTCTCTCTCTCTCTCTCTCTCTCTCTCTCTCTCTCTCTCTCTCTCTCTCTCTCTCTCTCTCTCTCTCTCTGTGTGTGTGTGGGCGCACGTGTGCTTGTGTGAGTAAGTGTGTGTGTGTGTGTAGAGGAGTACGTGTGCTTGAACTGATCTGTCAATCTCTCAATCTACACACAGCGCCAAGAGAGGGGGGCGGGGGGGGGGGGGTCATGTGTGTGGTTGTTTTTGCCTTGGGATGGTCGTCCTAAAGCCAGGTTGAACTGCCGGTTCGTATCGTCTGGAACGAGCCTAGTGCCATTGGGAATTTGGAAGACGTAATTGAGGAAATTGAGGCTACTAGGCACAGCCCCTCAAAAACCTTGGTGACCGTCGTGTTTCGGAGTTCCTGCTCGCAGTGCTCGGCGGTCGCCAGGCCACCCAATTCTATCATTCTATGGGCCTCGCTGCACATCTCTCGAAATGTGCAAAACGAGAGTGAATCTTCCGGTAGAATATGGAAAGATACACGGCCATGATTTTTGTCTTTTGTGCATGTCGAGAGTAGTGCAGCGAGCGCCTATGTCTGTTTGGCAGGAGTGGATAGCGATAGCGGCGACACGCTGAAAGGTGTGGTTGATTCTGTTAGGGCATTACTCACACCAGGAGGACTTCCTCTACCAATTTCTGGACGGGATTGCAGCCAGTGCATAATTGCATAATTGCAGACAAAAAAATGACTCTAATTGACAAATAACATTTAGTATCATGATCATAGATAGCGCTAGTATGAGTATCATCAGAGTATGCGCTTACCAAAAAAAAAAAAAAAAAAAAAAAAGAAGAGTTTGCGCTTACTGTTTTTTTCAAATCTGGAAAGGAAGCATTAATTGACCATAACACTTGTCACTGTTGTCATGATACCGCAATGAACAGGTTTTTTTGTTTTGTTTTTTTTTTTTTTGTGCTGCCGGGCTGCTTATCTCAACCAGACCAAATAAGAAATTCCTCGGTCGAGGTTCGAACCCGCGTCTCCCAAAGGAATGGACATTGGCCATGAGTCACATGAATGTTAGGCTCAGCATTTCCAAAGGAGGTTCCTTTTGTATATTAATTAATTAATTACTTAAATTGTATTAAGTGTTGAAGTGGTCCATTGTGACAGTCTGATGTAAAAAGGATAACATTGTTTACTCAGAGTCGGCCTAAACTGAGCCTTGTCCATCGACGATACATAATGAGTGTGAAAGACCACGAAGTACAATTCTTTAAAGTTTTTTTTTTTTTTTTTTTTTTTTTTCTTGAATTAAAGAGCAATGCTATTAGGGGACTGTGCTCGAGTGTATACGACTCGGAGGGTATTAAGCGCGTCCCTGGAATTTATGCCTAATTTTTGTTGAAGCCTCCGGTCTATTGGTGGTGGGGAAAATCGCCTGCTGTAACATACACAAAGCTTTGCCTATGGAAAGAATCCAAACAGAGAAACCCTAAACAAAGGAAAGAACGGCGAGAGTCTAGAGAAGGTAGGAAAAACGTATGACGCCTGCGTCGCCTGGGACATTCACAGAATGACATGCAGTGAGGCTTGGCCAGCCAGGCCAGGCGGCCCAGGCCAGTTTGTTGTCATGTCTTGTCTTCTCTTTCGTTTGCTGAAGACACACAATTGGGCGGAAGTTCGCGGAACCATTCAATCCTCCATACATGGCAGGTGCTGGCATTCAATGGATTCAATGGATTCGTTTTTGGTACTAATGGGTAATCGTTTTTTTTTTTTTTTTTTTTTTTTTTTTTTTTTTTTTTTTTCATGCAGCTTCTTCAGTATTTTACCTAGTAGTTACTTGAGTCGTCCCTAAGAGAAGGTCGGGTCTTTCTGGGATAATGTAGCGGCGTAGCGGCAAAGGCGTGTCGATATGCACTCTGATCCAGCACCTAACAACCCTAAACCCCTAAAAGACTTATAAAAAAAAAAAGCTAAGCTACATTCTTCTCCTAAAAAAATCACAATTTCCTACAACTGCAACCTACCTACCACCACTCCTAAACCTATACAGGGGACCCCTGCAAGCGCATTTACCTCTCTAGATAGGGATAACATACCTGCCTGAGGGCAAACCCCCTGGAAAGAATGTTTTTCTCTTAAATCATCGGTACTTGCCCCAGCTTCCGGAGGGCAGGTACCCCGAGCCTCCGGAAGTAGAGTAGAGAATAACTCAAGGCAACATGAAGCCAAATGAAACGTATGGCAATTCATTCAGACAGAGACATGGAGAGAAACGAGAGAGAAAATAGACGCAAAAGTCCCCCGAGCGCATTCAGCTCGTACGGAATTCAATGTTAAGCTGATACAATGCGAAAGATGGGTTGAAGCGTAACTGGCGTCCAGAAGTTGCGGGGCGTTAACTACAACGCCCCGAGGCCGATGTATGGGCCAAGTACTGGTGGTTTAACTAATCTTCGTTCTTCTCTCAAACTCACCCTTGCTACTGTCTCTTATACACATCTAGATGTGTATAAGAGACAGCTCCTAAGCCTATAAAGGKGACCCCTGCAAGCACATTTACGACGATTTATCTCTCACTACAGTTTTCCCCCGAATACAACGTACGGTCATTATAGCTGAATTTAGACTGAAAGATACCCCCAATTCAGCTATAATGACCGTACGTTGCATTCGGGGGAAGACTGTAGTATGGAGGAAACATTTCAGTCAGAGAGATCTTAGTTTAGGTCAGTGTCACTCTCCCGCGAGTCAGTCGTTGACACAATTGGACAGTCAAAACTCTAATTTGCTACCCCGTTCAAGTTGGCGGCCCCGGTACTATGTCTATGTCTTGTTCTTCTTTCCTTTTTCTCTGTTAAAAGGGGCTGCATTGCGGCATTAGAAAGCAAGAGAAACTGCTTGCAGAGCTTGTTTGCAGTTTGCTGCGTAGCCAGTCATCATATCATTTTCACACGATTCTCCGATCATTTGCGTCGCACTGTCTTTTCTTCTCTCCGTCTTTTTCTGTTATAAAAAAAAAGGAAGTAGCCCCAAGCATGATGCAGTATTGAAATATATCCTACATGATGCATCGGGATTTGAGCTCGTGCTCTGTTAAAATACCAAAAAGTCACAGGTGACCATCATTCAGTCAGACAACTGACACGCAATGTGTATGTTCTGACGTCTCACCTTTACGTTGGGGTTGGGGTCTGTGCGTCTAGAACTTTAGACCAAACGATCGCTAACCCTAGTGCCGTCTTCACCCGAATAGAATGCCGGGTAATTATCGCTGCATCTGGGCCGAAAATTGTGCCAAATACAGCTATAATGACCGGGCATTCTATTCGGGTGAAGACGGGTAGTTGGCCAAATGATTGCTAACCCTAGTAACCCTACCATCTTCACGAGAATAGAACGCTCGGTTGGTCATCTTCGCTGCATCTGGACTGGAGGTCGCCCCAGATGCGGATATAAGTTCTGGTAGTCTATTTGGGTGAAGACAGTAGACAGTAGACCAAATAAGTCATTCAGATAATGGCCGGAGCTGGAGCGAGGCGGTGCAACTCTGTAACCTAGCCTCCTGTTGGGTGTGAGCACTGCAAGGCCCGGTAGAGAGATCTGGTTTGGTTTGAACATGGCTGCGTTGGCCGAGTGTTCAGCTAGGCCTCAGCGACGTCAGCGCCGAGGCAGACGGTATCCATTCATTTTCGTGGATCTGGGGTGATTCTGTAGAACTTTGCTTGGGTAGAGGCCAGACTGGCCAGTAGGTGACTCCAAATTTTCCTTAGTTCTTTTTCTTGATTGTTCAGATTTGTTCTCAGCTGAAGCTGGGTGATGGACCGCTGATGGCCCTGGTATCTCATGCTCTCTGTATTTTCATGACTCATGAGGGAGGCCGGGCCTGAATCCCAGCACGTATTGCTCCCCACAAATACATTGGTACTCATTGGAGCATTGTCCGGCCCCCAAAAAGGGATGGTCCTCCCGTCTTCCCCCGAGCACAACCCACCCTCGTGTTGCTCCCCACGAATAGATTGCAGCATTGCTCCCCCCTCCCCCCCCCGCGCAAAAAAAAAGGGATAGTCCTGGCGTCTTCCCCTGAAGGGCCTGAACAGTGAACACAACCCACCCTCATTTTGAATGCATGCGACGCCACTGTCACCGTGAGGCGAGGGATGGGAGAGCTATAGCTTGTACACACTCCTTATAACTGTGCCCTTTGCTCGGAGGAGGACGATGGTGCTCGAGGATGCCAGGATCAACAACTCTGTAGTCGAAGACACCGTACTATGTCTATGTTACATCGTTACCTCTGACTCTCTGAGGCTCTGAGAGACAAACCCCAGTGGACTAGTGCGGTGCTATGCTTGGGCTAAGCTATACCAAGAACCTGCCTAACATTTGCCATCATATTCATGCTGTCTCAGCAGGTGCATAGCACTGGTGGCCCGTGGTGGGCCTGGTTTTTTTTTTTTTTTTTCTGGTTATAATTTCTAAGGTTTGTAACTTTGTGTCAGCTGATCTCTGGACCCGATAGGATGCTCAGATATGGTACAGAGATCTAGAAAAATTCTAATGCGGCCAAGCTTTTAGCTCAACACCGTGACGACACTACGTAGTGCTAAGCAAAGACATAGCTTGAGGGGGGGGGGGGGGGGGAAAAAAAAAAAAAAAAAAAAAAAAAAAAAAAAAAAAAAAAAAAAAAAAAAAAAAAAAAAAAAAAAAAAAAAAAAAACCGAATGACAAGGTAGAAGCTATTCGGAATCCGGTTCAAGACGAGTGCTTGTGCTAAATTAAATTACGCAGGCGTTCGTTTCAAGGAAATGGCCAGGTTCACGCTACCCGAGCTCAAGCACAGCAACTGAGGGGATCTTACCCTCATGAAAGCAAATGCTCCACCGGCAGTTTGTGAGGAGTACGTAGCGGGGCTAGCCTGATTCGGACGGAATCGGAACAGATAAGTGATTTCAAGGACACAGGTACCTCATGACACCTCAGAGTCTTTGTTTGAAATTTATTTTTCCTTTTTTGGAAAACCTAGCCTTAATCACGAAGGTACCCCACATAGAGACGTCGCCGTTGGTCGTTGTTATGTTGTGAACGACGCCCGGCTTTTCTCTATGGACGCGATACTGCAAACCGAGATTGTTCTCAGCCGCCTGCAACTCTGAGTGAGCCTCAGCGTTCTAGGTCAGCTAGTAGAACAAAAGATGAAAAAGGTCTTGAAAAAAAAAAGAAAGGGAAAAAAAAAAGAAAAGGTATTGACGTTGTCCGTCGAAGATGATGATGAGGTGGATTCGAACCATGCGAGCTTTGTCGTCGGGATATATGACTGGACGGCACTATAAGTCTTGGGGAAGTTCCGCACATGTCAATCAGTACGACGCCCTGATTGTATTATGGTTCTGATTTTGCAAAGAAACATCAGCCTGAGGACGCATGTTCTCTATCCACGTCACTTCCCCAAAAAAAAAAAAAAAAAAAAAAAAAAAAAAAAAAATCATGGTGCTACAACCACCTGGATTGATGGTTGCATTTCGAAACTTCGGATGGCTCCAATGAGTCCAATCCATTGGTGAGGAGTCACTGAGGAGCTGCTCCTGGTAGAAAACGATTCCAGGGTCCCAGTAGGACATGAATTTAAAGCGTTCAGACTTCAAGTTGGGTGCGGCACCCTTAGGGCCTTAGGGCCTCGGCACACTACTCTCCAAATGTGAAAAGGACAAAAATGTGGCGGCATCTGGCCGTGTTCTTGCAGGAAGTTCAGTCTCATTTTGCACATTTCGAGAGTAGTGTGGCGATGCCCTTACTAGTTGACAAGTTGTGGGCATGTTCTTTCAAGGGAAAAGTCATAAAACTTCCCTGCGACGACACCTTTGTGTCCATTTCCCCCCAAACGGGCAAACAGGTGCCGCAGGCCCCAAATTCACTTTCGGCCTCATTTTCGCACCCTGCAAAACACTTTCCCGCGAATTTTACAGAGCGGCCATTACCGGCCCAGCCACGTGCAAAAACGACACCAAAAGTGAATTGGGACCTGCGGCACCTTTTTCCCCGTTTGGGGGAAACGGATACAAAGGTTTCGTAGCAGGGAGTTCTTATGACTTTTCCCTTCTTTCAAAGGTTGGTTGCACCTCATAGGCTCTTTTCTCTGGCCCGCAGACAGATTGATAATAGTCATAATGCTGATTCTCCATTCAATGTGGCAGATCTGTTGCTGCGTGAAGTTTGGTGATCCCCTTCTCCTGCCGAGCTTGGAAATGCCCGGCAGGAGAATGGGATCACCGAGCTGGGGTGTTTCTCCGTTTTGGTCGTCCCCTTCTCCATCAAGGGATAATCATGTCATCTTGAATTTGAAGTGTTCAGGCAAAAAGAAGTGACGCCAAAAGAAAAACGCACCGGCACGTCACTTCGTTTGGCTGGCGGAGCCTGGCGCAGCCAGCCATTTTGCTCCGCCAGGCCAACCCCCCCGAACTTTCGGCCTGTGGACGGCCGGGTCGGAGAAAATTGTCTAGGAAACGTACTGGTGGTTCACCAATTCGTCTTGGCCTTGGAGGCTGTGCGATTGCCCACGTTCTTTTCCACTGGCCACGTCATTGTCATCGGTTCACACTTGTCCACTGATTTTACAAGGAGGTCATTACTACTGACTCGTTAGAGATTCGGTGGAGGGAGCAATCGAGCATGTTAATGCCAACTTAATGGATTTTCCGTCTGGAGGTAGGTCAGTGCAACCAGCGGATGTGCTAGCTAAGGACGATAAGCAGCTTTACAAGATGAAGACTCGACGGTGACCAAGTCCACAGACATGCATACAGCCGCTCATGCATACGGCCCCCACCAGCCCTGCCCACCCCTGCCCGAGCCGCCATATCCAGCACAATCAAGCATTGACCTTAAAGCGTTGCAGACAGGGGGATGGCGAAAGGTGGAAGGCAAGAAAGGACTTGTCACTGTTGTCAGGGGTGACAGGAGATGGCCATACACGGGAGTCACGTCTGGGTGTTTGGGAGGGGGGGGGGTGGTGTTGGTTGGACGAGGAAGGGGTGGGAATGGATGGACTTGGGGTTCAGGATTGATGGTAGACATGGCCTGCAGGGAGAGACAAGAGACGAATACCTCCACTTGTGGTGATGGAGCCGGATTTCGTGAAAGATGAAGAAGCATTTCCTTTCCAGCGATATGCACACACAGCCAGCGGCCTAGAAACGGGAGCTCTTAAACCACCAGTACTTGGCCCAGCAATAGGCCGAAGCAAAAAAATAGAGTAGAAACGTTTCTACTCGGATGAAATTTGGGTGCTCCTGTAGTGGCCCGTACGTTTCCTAAAAGTGTGGTTTGTTAATGGGCACGACTTGAGGAAGTAGTGGTGGTTTAAAAGGATGTCCTTGTAGTCGGGCAATCCAACCCCAAAGGCCCAAAAAAAAGGCCCCAAGGGCCCCAAGGACCCAAAGGGGGCAGATAAGGAAGACTTGGTGTGATGGGGACCTGTGCTTCCAGTTGTATATAAGACACCACCATCCGGCCGGGTTGTGGTTGGATGAGATGCTTCTGTTGAGAAGACGGAAAGTCCGCCCACCGTGTTGTCTCTAACAAGGCAGTCTTGCATCCAGCCACACCCACTGGCAATCGCAGCGACGTATCCGCCACGATTTCGCGGCTTTTCCATTTCGTTTCTTTCGTATCCGAACTCGGAGATTGCTGCCAAGTTCAAGCTGTCACCACAGGGTCACCCTATAACCTACTAGGCCCTAGGGTAGTGGGTCTGGTACACTCTTGCTGGTATTGAGGGCAATGAGGGACAGAATGATCTGGAACTGGAAGTCATTCCATCTCTGTCCGGTCTGTCTATAAGACTATAAGCAGAAATCCTTGTCCTAGTCGGACTGGTCGGACTGGCCCTGCTCTTGCTCGGGGTCCTGGTTCTGCTCCTCCTCATCCTCCTCGTCCGGGTTCGGGTACCCGTCCTTCCTCTTGTCCAGTTTCTTGTTGTCCCAGACCAAGGTGGATTCAGGATACACAGTCATCAAACCCACGCTACTTATGATATGCTAGCCTGTTAAGGGGTTCCTGCTGTCCCGTTCAAGCTATTTCTCAGGTCGGAGATCTTGCAGACTTGCAGTGTATCCACCACCCATTGGGAACCACTCCCGTACGATTGCCAAAACATGTAGGGCGTTTCCTCCTTTGCGCCTTTGCGGCTTCGCCGCATGTCTACGGCGTGCTGTGTCAGTCTGTGGCTACTGCGTCATTTTCGATTGTGCTTCATTGATTATTCTACCATCGATGTTCGCTCAGCGGTTTCTTTTGCTACACTACTCCTTCTTCATCGGGCTGAGTGTCCTTGTCTTGTCCTTTTCCTTTTCTTCAGTCACTGCATTAAAAAAAAAAAAAAAAAAAGGTGCTTGCACTTATGCCTGTGTGTGTTGCTTCATCTCAGGTTGCCAAGACTGGCTGGTGGGGGATGAAATATTCGGGCCTTTAATAAAACTTGAAAGTTGAAAGTTGAAACAACCAGTATCGGACTGACTGTGTCCTACTGAAGCAAAAAATCCCATTTGTTCACATGAAAACAAGCTGCAAGCACTGCCAAGGAGGCCACTACGACCTCTGGCCCGCTGCACATTCATAGGAAGTTTCTGAGGAAGGACCCCGGAAGAGATGCTTTAAGCCAACGGTACATTTCCCCAGATGCTTTAAGGTTTAAACCACCAGTAAATTCCCCGTCTATTTTTGCGGAGCTGCCCCTGGCATGCACCGGCATCTTTTGGGGCCTGCCCACGTTTAGCAAAATGGCTAACTGCACCAGCCAAAAGGAGGCCTGCGTGGATTTGTTTTTTTTTTGTTTTGTTTTTGTTTTTTTGGGGCACGCAGGGAGTTCCAACTTCCCAGCCCCAAAAGAAAAGTACCTGCATGTTCTTAGGCCGTTCACGCGGTGGCTGAATCGGTGCGCCGCATTTGCGTCAGAGGGGCCCCAGAGGGGGCCTAAGACCCCCTGGGGTACTGGTGGGTTAAGAAGAAACATCTGAAAGTAATTAAGTATGGAACCTCATTCAAAAGGCTTAGCCAGAAATTTAAAGTCAACCCCTTCATTATTGAGTCCCAAGTCCCAAGTCCCATGTGACGCCCAACCTCACGCCCCGCGTGACTTCCTGATTGGAGTGGAGTGTGGGCCTGGAAGTGCGACAAAGGGGTGTGCCAAGGATTTTTGGAAAGTGGGGGTGGAGTCCCAGGTCGGAACTGAGATCTCCGGTGGCAAGGTTCAGGGGCCTAGATGCAATAGAGCACTGGGAAAATTTACGGGCGCGGGCTTTCACGCTGGTTGTGCGGGGCCGTCCGATCCTGGCGTGATCGCCAGTTCTGGGGAGCCTGTCGAGGCGGTCCTTGGGGCCCACGCCTTCGGGGTCCRCCACGTGGCGTGSGTTGGTGGRAACTATGCCTAGGTGCCGAGGCTCCGRGGGTTCGGGTATGGGCASGTCGCCTGCASCTTSTGCGCGGGGTGGAGGGCCAATAAGGCGCTATGRAATTCCACRGTACTACTSTAAGCTGATGAYAGGGGAGGAGGAGGTGGTATGGCSGRRAATWAGTGGCGATAAGGACGAAGCCGGGGGTTATGAAATACTGCGTGTTGTACGTGTTTGGGTAGTSGGGTATCCGTGGGTCGCTTCRTAYGGCGAGATGGAATTCCCTAGCGCAGAATYTATCGTTTTCCGTGAGGCAGGGGAACACCGGGTTTCTCAAATTTCCCCGTAATCGGAGTTGCTCTTCTTCCCAKATTTCCCGGTAYCYGAAATAYGACTCGTWATCCTCGGAATTCCAAGRTACGTSGGAACTCCGCGAGCTCGTCATTCTTTCATCACTCACGCCTTGGGGGATAAGTTAATCGGGGAGATCACCGCTCGTAAGTGYGTAAGAGAGATGCGAACAAGTCGCACTTACGCGCASTTACGCGTGATGGGTAASCCGATCYCGGTCRAYGTCGACTCCTACTTCAGTGAGGGGCTGACTACGGGCRTTAGCCAAGATGYGATTTGCGCTCCAGACTACCCRTAAGATTCGACAAGCCAACACCTGTCTCTTATACACATCTAGATGTGTATAAGAGACAGACCCGATCTCGGTCGACGTCGACTCCTACTTCAGTGAGGGGCTGACTACGGGCATTAGCCAAGATGCGATTTGCGCTCCAGACTACCCATAAGATTCGACAAGCCAACACACTCTACTGATCACGCCAGCATGCAATCCCCATTCTCATTCATCATGTACGAGGGTTCGAAGGGAGACGATCAAAAACGAAAATGCGAAGGTGCGCGAACCATCCATACATCATTTGCAAAAGGGGATTCCGGAGAAGGAACAAAAAAGGAGAAAACATCGATACAAAAAAGAATCAAATCGAACAACAGGACGAGTATATGGCCGCAAAGACAAGGGCGAGTTGCCCGTAATCGATACCAAAATTTATATACACAGATAAAAAAAAGGACTGAAAAGAAAAGCGCAAATCTTCACCCTGAACTCTCTCCGATGCCGACAGTCCGTCGTCGCGCACCAACACCTGAAGCTGTCACCCCGCTTAGTCCTCTTGCGCCCGTCAGGTTCGCTCCTCGCCCACAGTCTGTCGCGGCCCGCGTCAACGCCGCGCATTCGGCACCACCTCGTCGGGTCGCCCGACTCCCACTTCACTCACCTCTTACTTCGCTCGTGTGCCGACCCTCTCGATCGCGCAACCCCGAGCTTCCAGCAATTGTTAAGAGATCAAAATAATCGCGCAGCCGGAATTTATAGCGTGCATGCGTGCGCGAAGAACACGAAATTACAAGGACGTAGATAGATGGGGGAAAGGGAGTGCTCACGTTTGCATGGTCGGGCCGCGGCGTGGGGGACGTACCCAACTCCACGCATCGATCCGAACATGCAAACGCGGCTACCCAGATAGGGAGGGGAGAGAGGAAGAAACGAGGCGGGAAGAATAAGGAGCAAGAAACAGAAAGATACAGTTACAAAAGTGTGCGCCCAAAATTACAGTTGCAAAAGGATTAAGGCGCCAATCAATCGAGGTCCTGGCGCAGCAGCAAGAAAGAGCGCGCGAACACGCAAAGCAGCGCCCAGAAAAACAGAAATTCCAAAATTCCAAAATTCTTAGCTTACCTGCGGATATTATGAAAAGGTCCGAAAAGAAAATCAAAATTTCGAAGGCCGTATGGCTCCGACCAAGATTCGAAAAAAAAATTCAAAAAGGAAATTCAAAAAGAGACACTGAAATTCCCGCGCGATGTCTACGCGCCCAAAAGTCCGACAAAACAAAATTAAAAGAAGGGAAACGAAAGAAAAAAAGCGACGTCAACGTTTATTAATCGCGCACTCGGCGCGCACTCCACATCCATCCGACCAAGTTTCACCCCCTTTTCCCCGTGCATACCCGAATTGTCCCCAACTGTCATCAGAACCAACGAAGAAAACAAGGACACACATGCAATTTTCCATCAACCCGTCCAATCGACGTGGGACCCCGCTTAGTACTTCCGCAGAAAGTAGCGCATTACAGAAGCTAGTTCGTCACATATGTGACGCCCAGGGGGTTCCAAAGATAAGCAAGCTCCTGCTTGCTAGTTGACGTGTCGATTATCTTTGATTGATTGGCCGTGGATGGTTGATCTTCTTTTCTGTCGCATACCGTGCGAACGAGTGTGGAAGTCATGCTGCGCGGCAGTCGTATCCCGGTTGTCGTCACTCGTGGGGAAGAGGAAAAGGAAGACGATAAGCAGGCGGAGGTGTTGATGGGGGATGAGTTGGGATATGCGGGAAGAAGTGTTCCAGCTCATCGGCCGTTTCCGGAAGGCTCCGATGATGAACGATTCTATGGAAGCGAGGGAATCGGCGGCCATTAGTGGGGAGAGAAGCGAGGTAGTCGGGATAGAGAGTGGTGAAGGTTCTAAGAAGCGCCGCACGAAAGCGTTCGCGGTCGGCGCATGCGGGGATTAACCCTGTGATGAGGCAATAAACCTCTACGGCGTTGATACGACGCCATCCTACGCGAAAAAGAAGTACATGGAGAGGGAACTCAGGGGAAGCACGCTGGGAGGATGAGTGGGGATGGATTGTGACAGAAAGACGGATGGAGAAGTAATGACGGAAAGTGTCGTGGGGGAAGGGATTGTGGGGGAAGACGGCGAAACGGGTGAGCTGGCGCAAGGTGAGGAAGTCATGGGGGCTGAGAGAGAGAGAGCCCGAGGACGAAGACCGATCGGCCTCATCTCGACGTGCTCGAAGTGCGGGACGGGCCGCGAGGGAGAGGGAGGCGGAGGGGGAGCGGCTTCGTCGTCGGTGTCGCGGTGGGGAAGGAGACCGGCAAGCGGACGGCCCAGCCATCTGGGCCACATCGCCGTCGTCTGGCTGAGGTGGCTCCGGGTCGAGCGTTGGATCGTTGCTGATCGGAAGATCAGCAACCGGCGCAATTTCTAGCTGGGGATCCTCGTCGGCGTGCTCCTCGTCGTTGTCGTCACCGCTCCCTTGCTCGCTGTCTTCTTCTTCTTCTTCCTCTTCGTTCTCCGTTTGCAGGAGCTCGTCTTCTTCTCCTTCTCGCTGCTGTGCTGGCCCCTCTTCGTCTTCGTTCGGATTCTCCTCCTCTTCCTCCGAACTTTCTTCCGCAAGCTCTTCGCGGATTATCTCCTCCAATTCGTCCTCGTACGGCGGTCTGTAGAAAGCGGGATCCACGATGTCGCGCGGATCCAAATAATCCAACCGTGAAGGAGGAATTCTGAATGGGAAGCCCTCCACGCAAGCTGACCACTGAAGATATGGCGACAGCGTGCGCGAGGTGACGTGGGGCACCAAGCGCGGGTCGACCTGGGAGACAATGCTGACGTCAAGATCGTCGGCCAGCTGCGCAATCGGGACCGTAAGCTCCTGGGTGAGAAGCCTCCGACAGCCTGGACGCACTGACCCGAATAGAAAACCGAGAAGGTCCCCCTCTACTCCCGTCCGCCACACCTGAATCAAAAGGAGCTCCAATCGCTCGGACCGCGGATAATTTCTCTTGTCCCTCGTCCACGCCACCCGTACTTCCGCCAAACACAGCGAGAGTTCGATGAAGTCTCTGCGCCACGTGTCCCACTGAGAGGGATCGAGGAGGGAACAACCAGAGGATGTATGTAGAAGGAGAGGCGGGGATGAAGATCAGATTGCCAAAAGGTGGGGAAGTAAGAAGGAAGCTCGAAAGTAGAGATCTAGAAGGAGCTCATCGGGGATGGAAGGGGATGAGAGGGGGTAATTGCGTCGATGGGTCACGCCGATCCAGCCGAAGGCTGTTGTATTCGATCGCTCGGATTGGTGTGATCACGTCCCCTTGGTGCGCCAGGAACTGGGTCCACTCATTCTGAAGATTGTGCACCCACAGAAGCAACGCCACCTTGATTCTCGTGTGTCGGCAGGGGGGGATCGCCGTGAGATCTCCACTCAAATTAACCACCACCGTTATCCGGCCGACGCCCGCAGATGCTTGTTGTCGCAACCCGACAACTTTGGCCAATATGATTGCGTCAGCCCTCCCATCGACGTGGATCTCTGCTGCCGCGTAGACGCCCTTCGAGCAGAAGAATTGCGCAAGCCCCTGAAGGTCCGGACGAAGACGAGGATGATGCATCTGTTGCAGTGTCAAATTCCCACGTGCTACCAACGCTTCTTCACTTAGAGCTCTCTCCTCCATAAAGCTCATGGCAACGGCGAGGGTGACGGCGTATCCGACAGAGATTGAGAAGGAGAAGGAGGCGTAGAGGAGATAGAGTCGTCGTCGGGAGAGGTCGATGGAGAAGGAGACGGAACAGAGGGAAGAAGACGGAGATAGGACACATGGCGTGTGATCGGGCGAGCCGATCGACTGCCGGAAACCTCGGGAGCAAGGCGCACGGTGTCCACGTCGTTGGCTCCGAGTTCAATCACTCGATACTGTCTGAAGAATCGTGGCGCTAGTTTACCCTGGCGCACACATTTCCTTACCTGCACGATGTCCCCTAACTTATACTGGGTCCTGGGACCCGCATTCCCATTCCGGGCCTCGTAACTCCGGACCTGTCGGCCATGGGCCAATTCGGTGAACCGTTGTCGCTTCCGGGCCAGTGTTGGTTAGGACCGCTCCATAAGTTCCAGGTGCCTTTTGGCTTTGTCCCGAGCGGTGGCCCTTGTGGGGCGTCGGTTGAGTTCCGATTCGTCTGGGAGGCTCGATATCGACACACACGCGACACTATTGGTTCGTAACTGGAAGGGGCTTAGGCTCGTCGATCCGTGGGGCGTTCCGCGATGGACCGCCAAGATGTGGTCGACAATATCAGGCTAGGGTCGGGGGTCACGTGCTGCAATATTCCGCCGCAAGGCCGTTTTTATCACCCTATTCGCGTTTTCCACTAATTCGTTAGACTGGGACATGTGCGGGGCCGTGTGTCGTATGGAGACGCCGTGTATGACCAGGTTCCTCTCGACTTCTCCTCTAAATTCGACCCCATTGTCGGTCAGGATCTCTTTGGTGTCCTGGTGCATGCCTAGAAAACGGTTGACTTACCGCGCGATTTCCGCAGCTTGTCGTGTCTTGCAGGGGTAGGCCTCGATCCACTTAGAAAAGTGGTCGACGAAAACCAGCAGAATTGAACAGTCACAACTATTCGGTCCGAGGGGCACCACTATATCAGTAGTATCCATACTAACCCTCTGAAACGGCCGTTCAACCACAGTTGGGACTATCGACCTAGGCGGTTGGGTTGGGGCCTTGTCAACAGCGCAGACCTGGCAGTGTTGGATGATGAATTTAACGTCGTCCCGGATATTGGACCAGTACCATTGATTTTTGTCAATCGCAGCTTCGGTAATGCGCACGGCAAAATGCGCCGTCGTCTCCTCGTGGGCTGTCCGTACCCAGTCGTACCGCATAAACGGGTGCGGAACTACTAACCATGCCCCACTGCCGTCTGTTTTACGCTTTTCTAACCGTTTGTCCACCCATCAGTAATCCCGTGCTCTTTCATTGACCCTCCTCCGATCCTCCTTGGAGAAGGTTTTGAGGGAGTTTCCTACCACAGTGGCTATCAAGGCGACATCTGTCCAGACTTCCGCTCTTCTAAATTTCTGAATTTTGTCGGGGCCTTCCGACGTGGCATCGAGGAATCGGGCTTCCGTCGAAATCTTGTCAGTGCGACATAAGGGACAGAACCAAGGTCTATCACTACTCCGATACTGTATGCACGCACCATGAGCACGTGCGACACATTTCCGACAGTCTACCCATTCAACATATCCCCTCCCTTTAGGATACATGTGGACGGAATAGACTCGAGAGATTGCCTCGCAGAAATAGCAAAATTTGTCAGGAAGGAAGGCGAAAGAAGAGGGTGGGGAAGAAAGAGAGGGAATCTGGACATTACCTCTGTCACCCATTGCCCTTCACTGGCTTCTTGCCACGTGGAATAACCACAACTCCTCCGTACTTTGGACCGTTATTGATGTCCGGGTCCTTCCACGGTGTGATTTCTTTCGCCTTGGGTACTTTACCGGGTCGGTGCAAACGTGTCAGTTCGTCGGCGTTGCCGTGTCTCTCCGTTTTTCGATGATAAATGTCAAATTCATACTCTTGCAACCGCACTGCCCATCGTCCAATCATGCCCGTGTAGTTGGTTAGCTTTTTCAGAGCCAACAGAGGTTCATGGTTGGTGACGAGAAGAAACTTTTGACCGTACAAATACGGATGGAAGTGCTGGATACTCCACACTACCGCATAGCATTCTCCTTGTGGCGCGGAATCATTTCGTCGCTCGTCTGGCACCGTCCGGGAAGCGTACTCAATGACATGCTCCTTCCCATCGTTTCCCTTCTGTGCCAGAATGGCCAAGATAGCCTCCGGCTGCCAGTCGGTGATGAAAATAAACTGTCGAGAGGGGTCCGGTCGAATCAGAATCGGGGTCGTGACGAGAGCATCCTTCAGGGCCCCGAAGGCCTGGTCGCACTCGTCATCCCAATGAAGGGGCTGTTCTTTTCGCAGCAGGTTTGTCAGAGGCCTTGCTATAGCCGCGAACCCCTTGATGAACCGCCTGTAATACGAGGCCAGGCCCAAGAAGGCTCGAACCTGCGTCAGTGAGGTCGGAACCGGGGCCTCTTTGACCACGCGACTTTTCGAGAGTCCGGCCGCAGGCCTCCTCGTGTCACCACATACCCCAAGAACGAGATTTCTAGGAGGAAAAACTCACTCTTTTCCAGCGCAATCTTGAAACCTGCGTCTCTCAATGCACCCAACGTCCATTCGATGTGTTGCGCGTGTCCGTGAAACGTGTCTGAGTACACCAGAATGTCATCCATGTACACAATGACGCAGAAGTTAATCATCCCCTGAGTCAATCGTGTCTTATTGACGAAATTCTGAAAAGTCACGTTCATCGCCCTCTGAAACGTGGCAGGCGCATTGCAGATTCCCATCGGGCACCGAACCCACTGCCACGTGCCTTCAAACAAAACGAAGGCGGTCTTTGGCCAATCTTCTTCCTTCACCAAGATATGATGAAGCCCATGCCGAATGTCGAACTTGCTGAAGTAGTTAGCACACCCAATCGCATCAAGGGGATACACATCTTTAATCGGGATATCATTTAGCTTTCGATAATTGATGCATATGCGGATGACCTGTTCTTTTTAGGAACCAATACAACTGGGAACGACCAGGGACCGGTGGCAGGCTCAATCCATCCGTTTACCTCAGATTCCCTATTCGCTGCAAGGCCGTCTTGCGCTCTATCAACGAGTATYGGYACGGCTTGCAGTGGATCGGGGAATAATTCCCGGTCTGAATCTCATGCTGAACGACCACAGATAACCCAATATCTGCATCGGACACGCTAATCGCCCCTTGATATTCTATTAAAATATCAGCGATCAGCCGATGGATCTCATCAGGTACATATTAGGGCACATGCAATTCATACATTTGATCCAAAATCCGAACGTTAACCTTCTTCGTGTGTATACGCCGAGTAGTGTCAGGCGGTGCAGATATAAAAGAGTGATCCGATCTCCAAGAAAACACAGTGGCCACCATCTGTGCTTCCTCCTCCCTAATCGCTGTATGACCTTCGGGGGTTATCCCGTCGCAGATGTCTCGCCGGGGCACGCTTTTGGGCGAGATTTTGATCTTGAGTTCCTCGGATCTTGCCTCGATGCGCTGAGGGGGTTCCAAAGAACCTGCTTCGGCTCCCAAACGCAACAACTGAACCTCTTTTGTGGGCTGAAGCAGAGATCGAGGTAAGCCAGTGAGATCACAAAAGGAACGTTTGTCACTATACCGAAGGAGGAGGGGAGATACGCCTTCGTACAGGGTCCGAGGGGGTTCCAAGGAATCAACCAGCCTCGAAATATGTACGAGGGGTTCTCCCATAATCATCATATGAGCATTCCGTGCAGTTAGATGCATCGTACGCGCAGCGGGTAGTGAGTCCGCTGTCGTACTAACCGTGTAACGACTGGATCGTCATCGTCGTCGCTCCCCGCGCCGTTCGATGATTGGCCTCCGTCCACAGGTGCGCTCCAGGAGACCATGCGGAGCGCTCCCATTGTTTCCGGAGACATTCGGGGTACTACCTTAACCGACGTTTGAAGAGTTAGTCTCATGGGTATTACATATGGCTTTCCCCCGGTATTCCGGAGAATGACGGATCGACGTTCGAAGTCTAAATAAGCACGCAGCGCCACCAATGCAGGAAGCCCGAAAAGAACGTCATACGTATTCACATCCAGCACCACAACATCTCCTAAAGCATGCACTTTTCCCAATCGAAACACGACATTCGTCATTCGCCCTACTGTCTTGATCTTCTCCTCGTCAGCCGATACGAGCTGGTCCTTCTCGGTCAGCATAATCAAATCATTCTTCCTACCCGCCCTCTCGACTACTCGGAGTGATATCGCTAGGACAGCCGCACCTGAATCTATGATCGCACTATACGGCACTCCCCAGACTTCAATATCACATTCGGCTGACTTCCACAAAATCGGCTTGATCCGAAGAAAGTGGTCATCTTTCTGTATCAATCCGACTCGGATGGCGTCAGCGGCGACGTCCGCCTTTTCCTCCGAAGTCGGCGCCTTCGCCTTCTGATCTTTTGCGCGTGCAAGGGCAAATCGCTTCCGGTTCGCTTTGCAATGCCGCATCATACGTTCGTTCGCCTGTTCCGAAATGAAGAGTAGGTGGCCGATTGGGAGAGGGATTCGATGATCCAGTGCTCGGGTAACCTCGAGGACATCGATTTCCATTGTAACAAAGGTAGGGCCTCCTGTCTCCATTTCGCTCGACGAAGGCCGCCATTCGGCGACATCTCTGGACTCGAGTTCCGGTCGAATCGCCCCAATCATTCCCAGCCCCGTGTATCCTAGTGATACATACTGCTCCAGCGGGATAAGCTCGGCTGCTTCCTCGCTGGAAATCATCATTCCATTACTTCCCCCCTGATCATCCATCACGGCTCCTACACGTCCTGGGTCATTAGCTATGGGAGCTGCAGCTGCAGGCGCGACCCCGGTTCGAGGCTGCATGGCACGATGGGGGCAATCTCGGGCCAAGTGTCCCGGTTGATGACATGTAAAACAAGCATTTGCCGCTGTCCCGGCTGGCCCCGCTGCAACTTGTGCAGCAGCCATGCCTCCCTACATTGGTGCTCGCACCGCAATGGGTCGCATATTCCGCATCATAGCTTCTAATCGGGCAATGTGCTCTCGCTGTTCCTTCTTGCTTTCTTGGATTAGACTAACCAATGTTTTAGTTAGCTCCAAGATAGCAGTAGACTCATTCGCTCTTGCGGGTGACTCGATGGTGGGTGGCGGTGGAGGTGGCTGAGTTACGGTTGGGGACGCCATTACCAGGATCTGCCTGTTTACAGTCGCTCCACATGGTGCGGTCCTCGATGTCACCTGTTCTACATACGTAACGGGTCCGGCTACGAATCCCATATTTTCAAATTTGTTTTGCAGTGCGGCCAGTTCCGCCCTTGCTTTCACAAGTTCTGACAAGTCTCCTTCTCTACCATAATCCTCAATTTCTAAGAAGTTAGCTGCGAACTTCCGCTCTATTTCTTCGGCAGCGTCCATAATTTGTTGCAGCGTGTGGTTAATGGGAGAAAAGTTTTTATGTAGCTTCCCCCGAATCGTTCTGTTACGTAGTCCATCAATGAACAGGTCCCGGCCTACCTGCTCGCCCCGCTCCGTCCTTACAAACATTCGATGAAATCTGTTCCAATACTCGGTAATGGATTCGAGTGGTTTCTAGACTCGATCCTTGATCATATAGAGTGCTTGTTCGGGGTGAACATAATCGAAGTGGTTTATGAAATCCCGCTCGAATGTGGGAAGATCCACCCATACATAAGTGTTATACCAATGATGGGCGTCCCCCCCCATCAGCGCGGGGATATTAATCTGAGCTTCATCGTTCGTATACCGCTGAGCTTGGAGTGTGGCCAACCATGCTCCGGCGAGATGGTGTGCTGGGTCAAATAAATAAAGATCTGGTGGAGCCGCTGGGGCTCGCGCAGGCGAGTTGGGCGGTTGATTGGGGATGACCGCCGCAGCGGCTGCTGCAGCAGCGGCCACAGCCATGGCGCCTGCTCGCCTTGTGGCGGATGTTCGGCTTCGTGTATCTACAGGACTACGTCGGCATGTGTTACCAGCTGAAGGGCGCCTATGTGGAGCCAGATCGCCTCGCCTTAGCCAGTATTGAGTCTACAGACCCTATCGCTTAGCCACGTGTCGGGCTCCGATACCAACCTCACGCCCGACGCGACTTCCTGATCGGAGTGGAGTGTGGGCCTGGAAGTGCGACAAAGGGGTGTGCCAAGGATTTTTGGAAAGTGGGGGTGGAGTCCCAGGTCGGAACTGAGATCTCCGGTGGCAAGGTTCAGGGGCCTAGATGCAATAGAGCACTGGGAAAATTTACGGGCGCGGGCTTTCACGCTGGTTGTGCGGGGCCGTCCGATCCTGGCGTGATCGCCAGTTCTGGGGAGCCTGTCGAGGCGGTCCTTGGGGCCCACGCCTTCGGGGTCCRCCACGTGGCGTGSGTTGGTGGRAACTATGCCTAGGTGCCGAGGCTCCGRGGGTTCGGGTATGGGCASGTCGCCTGCASCTTSTGCGCGGGGTGGAGGGCCAATAAGGCGCTATGRAATTCCACRGTACTACTSTAAGCTGATGAYAGGGGAGGAGGAGGTGGTATGGCSGRRAATWAGTGGCGATAAGGACGAAGCCGGGGGTTATGAAATACTGCGTGTTGTACGTGTTTGGGTAGTSGGGTATCCGTGGGTCGCTTCRTAYGGCGAGATGGAATTCCCTAGCGCAGAATYTATCGTTTTCCGTGAGGCAGGGGAACACCGGGTTTCTCAAATTTCCCCGTAATCGGAGTTGCTCTTCTTCCCAKATTTCCCGGTAYCYGAAATAYGACTCGTWATCCTCGGAATTCCAAGRTACGTSGGAACTCCGCGAGCTCGTCATTCTTTCATCACTCACGCCTTGGGGGATAAGTTAATCGGGGAGATCACCGCTCGTAAGTGYGTAAGAGAGATGCGAACAAGTCGCACTTACGCGCASTTACGCGTGATGGGTAASCCGATCYCGGTCRAYGTCGACTCCTACTTCAGTGAGGGGCTGACTACGGGCRTTAGCCAAGATGYGATTTGCGCTCCAGACTACCCRTAAGATTCGACAAGCCAACACACTCTACTGATCACGCCARCATGCAATCCCCATTCTCATTCATCATGTACGAGGGTTCGAAGGGAGACGATCAAAAACGAAAATGCGAAGGTGCGCGAACCATCCATACATCATTTGCAAAAGAGGATTCCGGAGAAGGAACAAAAAAGGAGAAAACAGCGATACAAAAAAGAATCAAATCGAACAACAGGACGAGTATATGGCCGCAAAGACAAGGGCGAGTTGCCTGTAATCGACACCAAAATTTATATACACAGATAAAAAAAAGGACCGAAAAGAAAAGCGCAAATCTTCACCCTGAACTCTCTCCGATGCCGACAGTCCGTCGTCGCGCACCAACACCTGAAGCYGTCACCCCGCTTAGTCCTCYTGCGCCCGTCAGGTYYGCTCCKCGCCCACAGTCYGTCGYGGCCCGCGTCAACSCCGCGCATTCGGCACCASCTYGTCGGGTCGCCCGACTCCCACTTCACTCACCTCTTACTTCGCTCGTGTGCYGACCCTCTCGATCGCGCAACCCCGAGCTTCCAGCAATTGTTAAGAGAKCAARWTAATCGCGCAGCCRGAATTTATAGCGTGCATGCGTGCGCGAAGAACACGRAATTACAAGGACGTAGATAGATGGGGGAAAGGGAGTGCTYACGTTTGCATGGTCGGGCCGCGGCGTGGGGGACGTAYCYAACTCCACGCATCGATCCGAASAKGCAAAYGCGGCTACCCAGMTAGGGAGGGGAGAGAGGAAGAAACGAGGCGGGAAGAATAAGGAGCAAGAAACAGAAAGATACAGTTACAAAAGTGTGCGCCCAAAATTACAGTTGCAAAAGGATTAAGGCGCCAATCAATCAAGGTCCTGGCGCAGAAGCAAGAAAGAGCGCGCAAACACGCAAAGCAACGCCCCAGAAAAACAGAAATTCCAAAATTCCAAAATTCCTAGCTAGCCTGCCGATATTATGAAAAGGTCCGAAAAGAAAATCAAAATTTCGAAGGCCGTATGGCTCCGACCAAGATTCGAAAAAAAAATTCAAAAAGGAAATTCAAAAAGAGATTCCGAAATTCCCGCGCGATGTCTACGCGCCCAAAAGTCCGACAAAACAAAATTAAAAGAAGGGAAACGAAAGAAAAGAAGCGACGTCAACGTTTATTAATCGCGCACTCGGCGCGCACTCCGCATCCATCCGACCAAGTTTCACCCCCTTTTACCCGTGCATTCCCGAATTGTCCCCAACTGTCATCAGGGGCTCCTTCGAGGAAGAAGAAACAACGAAGAAAGCAAGGACACACATGCAATTTTCCATCAACCCGTCCAATCGACGTGGGACCCCGCTTAGTACTTCGCGCAGAAAGTCGCGCATTACAGAAGCTAGTATGTCACATCCAACTTCTCTGAATTGACACCAACAGTGACAGTCATGAGTTCGCGGGCCTTTTTTTGGCTGGCGCCGCCAGCCATTTCAGTCCGGTACCCAACCGCGAATATATGCGGCCATAAAAATGGCACTTTGTTTTTCAAGCAGGGAAAGGTAGTGGTGGTTTAAGAAACAAAGGAGTAACTACGCGGGGGAGTCACACAAACGAGTTATAATTGCACTAGTATGGCCCTATGGGGCAAGATACAGTTTGCAATTGCGCTTCCGGGACCCTACTACCTGGCCAGAAAGCTGGGTCGTATACATTGCTCGGAACTGTATCTTGGCCCATAGTGCAATTATAGATCATTTTTGTTGACTCCCGGGTAGTTTCTTCGCAAACAAAAAGAGAGAGTGAAGACATAATCTATTGATGGGCCATTGGGCCATGTATGGCGCAGACTACCGTCTTCACCCGAATAGAACGCCCGGTCATTATGGCTGTATTTGGCACAACTTTCAGCCCAGATACGGCGATAATTACCGGGCGCTCTATTCGGGTGAAGACGGTAATCGGAACAAAAGTTTTAAACCTGCAGTTGCACTTTTCCTAGACATGCAAAAGAAACTTGGGCCTGTGCGTCTGAGCCCAGTTTACAAGCGGTTCAGCTGAGTTACCAAATGCACTGAATTGTTTGCCATGTTGGATCATAAAAACTAGAAAGAAACACACGTAACATATTTGCAAGCACAACAATCTTAGGTGTTATAGAAAAGAAAACTGTGACAAAAGTAGGAGAAGGAGAACCCTCGTATACATCAGGCAGCACTGCAAATCAAGCAGTACCTTCTTACGTGGCCACAGCAGTCTAGATTCACTATTAATTAATGGTAGAAGTTTAGAACACTGTGACAGCCTGGCAGGGAGTCCAGCGGGGAGACCCATCCGCACGAAGCTGAACCTCCCAAAGATAAAAAAAAGGACTGACACTGATAACAATTTCCATCATTGTGCTCTTTTCCTGCTGCATCCACAGGGAAAGCACAACAACTTAAACAAAGACAGAATGACGAATTTTCATCACCCTGCTCTTTTCTTGCTGCATCCACGGGGAAAGCACAACAAAGAGAGAATGCCCGGGAGACAGACAATCATCATAATACGTGGAGCTTTACGCTTGCAATTTTGCAGACACTCAATAATTGTCCCCTTTTCCATAACCTGCATAAGAGAAGACTTAGTTCCAGCACAAAGAAAAAAGCAAAACAAAAAGCAAGCCTCAACGATTACGTGCCCCCTCGCGCATCAGGCCAGCTCTTCAGTTGTGTTTTTTGTTTTTGTTTTGGGAACTCTTCAGTTGTTGAGAACTGTATTGGAAGGGAAAAAAGAAAAAGAGAAAAAAAAGAGAGAGAAATGCAGACGTCTTAGTGGGTGGCACTGGGTGCCACTGGGTGGTACAGACATCATAATGATGCATCCAGTTCGACGTTCGTGCTCTAGAACTTTCTGCGTTTCCACTCTTACCAGCAGCGCAATAAGGAAAAAGAGATGCTGCCCTTTGGGACCGCCGTGGGCTGCTTCTGGTTCGATGTCAGAGAGTCTGCAGGAGTTCGT